TCTTGGGCAAACCAATTAAAGGGAGCTTTGAGTGGGATTTTCGACTGAAATGCCCATTTCGCCTGCCAACGCGAGCGAATTATCCCCGGATTTTTCTGAGCTCTGATGCACGTCATTTTTGTACAAAAACCATCAACCTACGACGGTGGAGTCAAAAGCTACTTTGTCTAATTGAAGCATAAATCTTTTTTAGCAGGAAAAAGGCACTCTGCGTTTAACTCAGCTCACACAAGTTAAGCCTGCTATCTAGCAAATTAAATAATTCCTTTTTACTTTTCACTATTTAAAATTTGTTCGTTGTTAGATATTTACTGTACAAATTTGTGAAATAAGTGATTAACAGAAACCTTCATCGGTTAACACAGGTTAACACACTTTCTTCTGGCTTCTCTATAAAAAGTTAACCTTGATTTGAAGCCAAATTACAACAATACGTCTTCATAGGAAGTGGCGTTAATTATTCAATAATTTGCGCTTCACTGTTTCATCCAATCGAGGATTTACCATCTAAATAAGAATCTGAAAGAACAAATGCAGGTTCTGTTGAGCGACATTAAGTCTAGCGTTGTCATGGAAAAAGCACATACCTTTTCGGCTGACCATATTTGCCCCATTTGGTTGGATTTCCGCATTAATTTAGACAAATCACTCTCGTGGATGAGGCTCGTAGTAAATTATTCTACTACATCCCTTCTAACAAATAACGCAACACCACATTTTGATGCAGTTATTAAGCCTTCGTCATAGATTCTGCTCCCTCGATTCCATGCTTGTAAGCTGAAATAAACAGAACCATTTGTCAAAGATCAGTTATGACTTGATCCAACGAGGGTTCGTTTAGGTGACAGGTTAGGAGAAGTACCGATCAGTTTATTTCGTTCGATAGAAACCTACGGGACCAGAATGCAGAATTTTGAAACGAACCTACGTTGCTCTAAATGGTGAAATGCGGTCGAATTGTGAACACTTTGTCTTTCAGTGATATTTTTAGAAGCAACTAAATCACGGATAAGCTTGTCATCACTGCCAGAAGGTCACCCAAACGAAATCTCCGAATTGAGTGAATCGTTGTTTAGCTGTTCCAAAGGAACTAGCTTTATCTAAATTTTTATGAAAGAAACTGCGACAACAGGTACACACTTCTGCCTTGCATTAACTTTGGAATTCCCCAACACCACACTAGATTAACTCAAACCCCGATTTCGTAAAGCATAGATCAGCATTGGGAGGAGATATTGATGTCTCAACCAACAATCCCTTTATCACACGCAGTACGCACACTCACAAACTTCTTGGATGATCATCGCAGCCGATAAGATCATGAGTTGGGTATGAGCCAATAGAATGCGTGCCTGATCAATATGCCACGCGTAAAGCCGTGTATATGGAGGATTTGTGGCGCTGAACCACTTGGCAGCCTCGCTACTTTGCCCCTCCTGGTGTCGGAGAATATTTGGGGGAGTGTCATTCGTAGAGACACCCATTTACTCACTCACAAACAGGTCCAAAGTCGAATATCTGAGCAATACAATGAAATTGACAATGCATATAGGAATCACACAGTTTTAATTACCTCTCGTCTTTCCAATGTTAGTAGATCTACAGTTTCGAGGATGGCAAATAGCGTAACAATCATAAATCAATCTACTTATGAAGAAAATTGAATTTTTGATCTTGCTAGCCTCTTATTGTTAAAAAAGGCGCCTTGGGTGATTAACAAAATTTAACGGGATGTGGCACTTCGCTGCCACTGCACAGAAATTGGCAACCGCAAATGCCATTGGAACGGTAACCACCTTACAGTCACAATCATCGCCTGTTTTTTGGCTTTGCACAAACGAGACAGACAAATTCGTGTCTGGCAGGTCATAAACGGATCTTCTCGCCAAGTCGCATCACGAGACAATCAACCAGAGGTCTATTTTTGGCCGATAACCGCATTACATGCACACACACACATCATGTGCTGGCACAACGCTTACACAACACGCCGTGAATTTCCGTTTCACCACAAATCACCTTAGCGTATCTGGCGTCCATTAATCTCAAACTGTATGACACTGGACATGGCTTTGCTGGTCTCCTCTATGCTTGACACAACAATACCACGCATTGGTTGCTGGAATGCAGACACCTCAAGGCGTGGAAAGCCGCACTCATTGAGAGAACACGCAACAGAATAAAAGAATTAGCACGATGGGGAATATTTGCCACACTGATGCCTTGAACCACGGTTCACGATGACGTGTAAATGCACACGAAATCGATGGGCCTTGAATTATTTTCCACTCTGTGGCCATCTTAAGATAGAGACTTGAGTTCGTTCTTCTAAAAAATTTACAATAGCTCGTTTACCAACTTATTGTTTAACTGGAAGATCATTTGAAGCTTTGTCCCCAATCCAGTCATTAACTTAACCTAGCCGCATCGATTTTTTTGTTATTTTACATAACTTTCACTATCTGCTGTGAACTTTGGCCATAATTCGAATTAGATTACTCAAAATCACACAATTGGGGGTTAGATGTGAACCTATCCAGCTTTGCTATGGTTCCTTTCAGACGCAAAACGATGACAATTTTCACGACATCCAATACTTCAGTCGGGTTCTTGCTGATCCAAATTCCTTCGTAAAATGATCCATCAACCATTTTTTTTGTTTCCCTTATCGAATGTTTCTTTGAAAAGTGTTGATCACACTGTCGAGAAGACGAACTGGTTGTCATTAATCTATCCTCAATATGTAACAGTTTTCTTCGCTAAAAATACTAAAGCAATTCTGGTGACAATCCCTGGACAGCTCTACATCCCTCTAACCAATAAGCTTGGACGGCTTGTCTGAATCGACAAAATTAACTGTTAATAGACTTGATATGGAAATCGCTTGTGCAAGTTAAATTAATGAGAGCAGCAAAGTACTTCCTTTGTTATTAAGGTTGCATTGGAACAAAATGCAAAACCAGGACATAGTTACGCCTAAAGCCGTCTAGACACAAGAGATTAGTAAGCAGAAAAACATTCCTCTTTCGTCATATTCTGCTGTTATTCGTTGCTCCAAATTTGTTCATAGATTCTGAACAGAAGCCATGAAAGTGCCTATTTTCACGAAGTACATGTCTCAGGTTCATCTCGCTTTTGTACCTCATCTATTATTATTATTATTATTTAAATTTTCCATGAACTCTAAGACTTCACCAAATTTGAGTGGATTGAATTCAAGCAAAGTTGTGGAATGAGTCGAAAGCTCATAAGTTTTACCAAAAGCCTGAACACTTCTTAGAAGTAGCGCTGCAAACGACCACCTCCAACTCCATTTGTTTGCCTGTAATTTTATTCCTTAAATGTCGAATTTGAGAATGAACGCACTCCAGAGAATCAGCTTATTCGGAGTTGATCCAGACACTGCAATCACGACGCTGATGCTGGCTGTTGCCATCGTCTCAGGCAAGATGCACTCAGTATATCCGTGAGTGACGTTCGCTGAGAACTTAACCCATGGCAAAGGCGCGGACCAGTCGTTAGCCGTTAACGCATCCATAATTTACATGAGCAGATGGTCCGTTACACTGCCTGTAGTCGGCGAGGTTGCCCCATGTCCATAGCCCTATTTGGTCTCAACTCTGCCTCATGAGTCAACTCGGCCACAAGTCAATCTGGCTTAACGTCTCGATCTGTAGCTAACCCCATAGAACAAGGTGATGTCTACCAGCATGGCATAATGTGTCACCGGGTTAATGCATTTGGGCTTGACAATCGTGCACTGGCGAATAGAGACCAATTACACTTTTGTTAAATCTCCTTGGATGGGCTTTGACTCACACGCGTCGGCAGAACTTACGCATACCTTCAATTCGCTCTCCCGACAGCAACCAAGCATACTTTAGTTCAAACATTTAGCCACCTTGCTCTGATAGCCCCATTATTTGCTTATCTACACCAAATTTACTGTTCATTCAAATTTTACCTGGACTTGGGACTCCTGATAAAAGTTTAATTATTACACCAATAATTTACCTTAATCATGTTGTAGATCAGATACACGATAGTTGTGTAATCTCATGATAGGTAAACATAAATGACTGGTGATTGTAACACGGTCGGGTGTAGCACAGTACGGTCGCGTTGCCATTAGAAACAACCTTGGATTATCCTTGTTTAACGGTCTTGGGGCAAATGAATTGCTTGCGCCAAAGTAAGCGAGTGGGTGAGGCTAAGAATACCTCTGATCTTGAAATTAAGTAATAACATCAAAGGCACAAACAAGTCACTATCAAGCAATGCCCTTTTTGTAATCCGAAAATTTGATAATTCTAAATTAAGCATTCTTGATCTTGCGAAAACTTTGGTGAAAGCTTTCTGGAAAAACCAATGAACTGTCGGAACACAAAAATTACTCTAAAACTGGGTAAATCATTAATACATTACCATCACTTTTAACAATCAATTCAATGTTGGACAAGAAAGGTGAGTTTATGCCGAAATCCTTTTTGTATTACAAAAGGGGACAAAAGGAACCAATCAGAATCAACTTAGCTTCGAATCAGCTTTAGTTGTTGCGTTTTATTGATTTTTTTAAAGATGTGAATGAAATCGCTTGTTAAATTATATCACCTTCACATCAGACTAGGGGCAGCCGAATAAAGAAGGAAATAGAGAGTGATTCTGCAGATGTTGAATAATGTCGTGTTATAAACTGCAAGTGATTGGCACCTTGGGAAAACGGTACAATATTGTGCAACAAAAGTTTATTTGTGTTACGAATAATTATGGTTTTTTTTTGCCTTTTTTATTAACAAGAACAGGTCATTATAACGGTGGTTAAAATCGATCTCAGATTAGGATAAAATCGCAGCACAGCTGGGGCGTGGATGGTATTCAATGCTCTCTCGCCTGCCGTAATTCGCTACATTCTGCCCCTTGCAAATGAATCCAGACAAAATCGTTTCACGTCTCCTCCAATTTGCCGTCCTTCCTTGACGAAGGCGTCGTGTGGTTGTTTATTAATTAACCGTCACCCAGAGATTAGCCCTCACGCTGTCGGACACAGTTGCGCTGCTGTTGCTGCTGCCGCCACCCAGTCTCGCGTTTGCCCCACTATGGCTGCACTGCGCTCTTGCATCGCAATGTGGAGTTGCAGCATAAATGATTAAATTCAACAAGTCGACGCGAAGAAAGAACGCCATCGTGCTGGAAAAAAACGCGGGGGCCTTGAAAGAAGAAGAGGAAGAGGAGGAGGAGGCGGCGCAGGGTTTCCTGTAGGCACACCTTACGCCCAACTGGCAATTCATCACCCCAGCCGTGTGTGCGTGCGTGTGCTGAAACAGGACGTGAGGACCGGATTTGTGTGCGAATAATTTGAATTCACGCATCGTAGAGAGCATTTGAGCTTCGTGAGCAGCATTCCGATTAAAAAGTACGCTCATTAAAGACACACATGCAAAACACCTTGTAGGCACCGTCTCAGTAACGACGTTGCTTTTCTAGCAGTTGTTTCTGGAAGCGCCTGATGAGGCAACTGTCCGACGTTAGGAGTCGTGAGAATGCTTAAATTATGCGCGTACGTCAATCCCCACCCTAGTTGGGGTTCTAACTTGGGACGTCCACACTAGGTTGCCGACACTATTCCATGTTTTAACCGTTTTTGATCCATTACAGTGGTCATTTGCTTGCACATCAACTTCACCTCTTAAAGTGACATGATTGCCGCTGCAGTGCTGGATTTTCACTACATGGAAATCACTTTTATAGTCGATATGCACTGATACTTCAAGACCTAGCTACTACTCGAGAATCGTAAGTACTATGTACGAAATAAATTTTCTTCGTTTTGAGGCAAACTGAAGCAACTACCTCTTAGCAGCCGAGATCGCTGTGAAACCAAAAATGGTTTAAGTATTCTAAGGACAAATTCCCCAAAATCAAGTCAACTGCCAACTTTTAAATGTGGAAAGCGTTACTTTTAATTTTACCGATGTTGATAACTACTCAGCTGTCTTTCTCAAACCGAATTCCTTACATTCCGATTATTGACTGTTCGAAGGGTCTTTTATGATAAATGAATGGTGTATAGGAGAAAAATTTGCCGTGATTGCGCAAATATGAAAATTGGAAAATTAAGATTTTTCCGTGTTCTGAACCAGCACAATAGCTTTTGTCTAGTGTAAGGTGGCATTTACTATCATCAGAGTCGGTGGTTGTTATTTCGTCTAGGCAGCCTAGTTAACAATGACTGGGGCTTATTATTCTATCGCTGTATTTCTCTTTTAGACAAATTAGCGACTAGATCTATGGACGGTCGACTCCAGGGGTGTGGAGTGTTCAAATTTCACAGGTCGAATTGGTTTTGTGTCTTGTAATTTAAGAAACAGCGACTAAACCGCCAACCAGAACGTGTGAACTGAGTGTAGATGTGGATTCCTCAGCGATAAACCTGATCAAATTACGGAAATTCACCAAACATTGCACATATTCAGAAACTGAAAATAAATATATATAACGACAATGTAACATGATTTTTTCCTGCACGTAGGGAACGTCGATTAATTCGGCTGAATTCAATCGGTTTGTGCAAAGCCGGATTCGATTTAATGGCATAATAACAAGGATTACAACTGCTATACACGAGTACCTGCTCATGCCAACAGATTCATGATTTTGAAGAAGATGAAACGAAATTCAGTATTTAAAATGTTTGGAATGACTGACTTTCAAATTTCAAACATTATTGCCTTCTCAGATTGCCAACAATGTTAATTCATTTAAGCTAACAGATAGCGGCAATTGGCGGACAGAAACGAGGCGTGTTTGATAACGGAATGTTTTGTATTTGCTCAATTTTAAAACTAATTAACGGTCACCGCCACCACAATCGGTTAACTACTTGATGTTTTGCGTTAGCGGTTAGGGGAAATGAGTAGCTAGTCTTATTGGCCTCTAATTTTGTTGGCAAATTTCAGACAAAGTTGCTTTTAATAACGCGAAGACAACAAGCCAATCACCAATAGCTTAATTTTATAAAGCCGACTTCAGTTCATATAAAGCGGTTTCAATATGACCTTGAAAATTACATGCAACACGATCAATAACCCAGCTACGTAGGACGGAATTGAGTAGCTGGGATCAAGCCAAATCCTTGAATGACCCGTGTGTGCCCTTTATTGGTCCTGGGCGAAGGGTACTGACTCCACCTGTTGATCCACTTCAAGTGCTCACCAAACATGCAAAGCTGTTCTTGATTTGCATTGCCAAAAACTACACAAATGTCTTTTTGGCGCAAAAACCTGGGCTCACAAAAGTACATTGGTTCTGCAAATAGTTGCTTTCTGTAGGGCAGAAGAATGCCGTACCATTTCGCGCTGTCTTGGAGGAAAAATGTTTTTTAGCACCATTGTCAAGTTTGCAACCCATCGCTTCAGTTACAATTAATAATAATAATAATCTCATTTGAACGATTTTGCCAAGAAACGCCACTGAACCCCAGAAAGAAGGAAAAATGCAAAATACAGGGGAACAACGAGGTGGTTCTCGTCTTGTGCTGCTAGGTAAAAATAGAATGTTTTGCTAGAGACTTTAGCACGAAATCAAATTGCGGCTAGGCGTTTGTTTAAATTGTTAACTTAAGAAAAAAGGGATTGATTTCGTTGCAAATTCATATCCCCTTCACCACGCTAACTTGCTTGTGCTGGGACAAAATCCCATGAACTTTGTCAACAGCCAAGTAAATGCTAACTTTAATCGAAGATAAGGCGCTCGATACATAGATGTATCCTGTTAGTAATTGCCAGGGTATTTGAACCAACAAGTTAATTTACGTTGCTGCATTTTAACAACTTGAAATGCAAACCTGGGCGCGTGGACCCTCGTAAATGCATATAATCAGTTTTCGCGAAGTAAGTGGTCCTTACCACCAAATAATACACTTCAGCCACATTGGGTAAAACAAGGCTGGGACATGAAAGTTCAAAAGAAGGAAGTAATGTCACCGTAGGCTCAACGCAATGGATTTGTTGAAGACCCTAGAATGAGCTGTATTGGGCCGATTACGCAACACAAATACCCAGAGAGTTTAAAAAGAACGGGGACGGCGGAGGCAACAGTTTATTTGATTGCTCAACCTAGTTGCGTGACGTCTCGCCACTGCATAAAAGGTCGTGTCTGACGGATGGAGTTTCGATTAAATCAGTCTGAGTGAACTTGTAAAAGGACAAATGGCTGAAGGGGGTGGATGAGCAGACGGACACAGGGAAGAGGGGTGGGGAGGGTTTGGCCTGTCTGAGTCTGCAAGGACGGAGAAGAAGGACGAGAATCACCACGATTCACTAGACGCCTCGAACACACACCAAGGCCCTAAGACTGCACGAGCCCGGTTAAGCTTCGCCGGTATCCGAGGCAGCGACATAGACGTCAGCAGTGCATCAGACGGATCTACCCAGTTGTTTGCTGTCTTGAAAACTTGCAAGTCTGTTGCGTTTGTCTCGTAACCAAAGCCATGCACTCAGGTCGGTGGACAGCATGTGGCGGTATGGTAAGGAAGTTTGTTCGATCCGTAGGAAAGAGGATCAAAGTCGTCCATGATCGTGATTTGAACAAAAAAGAATTCAGTATAAGTCGAAGTTCTCTGTTACCATTTGAAGGCAGTCAATCTCTGGAGCAACAGAATGCCACTGCAAGAAGTGCCAACGCCTTCTTGTAAATCACCAGCAAATAATGCGGTGAAATATGCCCATTTCTGCTGCCACGAATTCTGTCCGAAAATGCATTACTGCCGCCATGAGAGAAAAAAGGGTCGGAACACCGAAAATCCCCGTGCAGGTACTTGGATGCACACCACGAAGTTGATCACGTTCTTTGAACGTGAAGTAGATGCAGCTTCCGCAAGACATTCTGCCGAATGGCCGCGAGCTTATAGGTGATTTAAAGAAGGTAGATGAGATGCCACCAAATAGAAGTGCGATGGATGATAAAAGGAAGCTTGCGCAATTTCATAGATGTTCCTTCAGAAGCACATGTTCTGAAAGGAAGCAATCGTACTTGATATTCAATAAATATTAGTTGATTAGCAGGAGGGAACTAGATTGGACTTGCATCTTGGAGTGTTGGAGACATGGTTTAGATCAAATTTCGATTTTTAACCAGTGCCAGTTGAGGTATAAGGCGTTCAATAGACCTCTCAGAGTAACTATTGTGTTGAAAATGGTATCCTCTGATTGCGTAACCCCGGAAGTGCCCAATGCTAGTGGGGATAGCATCTCTTAGTTACTTAAATTACTAAAGGCCAGACGAAATGTAAGGTAAATTGCGCTAATTTGTGAGGGGAAGCGAAAGTGTACCGGATTATTAGTAAACCTTGACGTGCGTAGGCGAATGCAGTAGACGCGATTTAATGCAATCCTCTCTGTGAAAAGTTTCGACAAGCCTGTTCTTCGAAGGGTGTATCTTAATTGACGAGAGCTCATTGGTCGTCTACGGGAGCTGATTAAAAGTACTGGTTATAGCTCAAAGTCGGTTGCGTACAGTTGATGTCTATTGGCAAGCCCTTTTTCTGGTTGGGTATCAGAAGATTTGCCAGCGATACGACAGAAGCTGTATCGCGCAGAAGTTGCAGTTTCTTCCAAACATCCCATGATCGATCGTCCCAATCGTGCTGGCGTCAAGGTCACAACTAAGTCGCCCTATTCACCTTATTTATATCTACGATTTGGGACCACAGAATCATTTGTGTGAATTGTGGCTGGAGTTTGCTTGTCAAGTAACTACATCCTACCGTCCTAACTATGCTTTTAAAATTTTCCCCACGGGGTATCAGCAGTCCAGTTAAGCCAGCCATTTAGGCAATGTGGACATCTACAAAACATCAATTAATTCTGACATCAACTTAGAGAAAGAAGCGAAAGCCCCTAACGCAGTCTGCTGACGTGGTTAATTGCAGGGATAGTTGATGCGGGGATAGTCCAGATTAGAAGCTTTTCTGTTTAAAAATCAAGACATGCGTATTAGCTGTAGTTTGAATTCACCATTGGTTTTTAAACTTCGTTATTACGTATGCACTTCGTTTTTAGCAGCCAAGAAAGATTTTGCCTTACAATAATTAGGATTCGGCGCTTCTCTCTAAGTTTGGAGGTTGGGTTGTGTGATTGGGCGGATTGATTAACCCTGAATCTTGACTTTTCTTTCAATCGACGAAATTCGGATTGGACTGAATAGAGCAGCATTCGATAATTTAACTACAATTGTCTTTCATGGTTCATTTTTTCTCCGAGGCGATGTTGTAATTTAGATTAATGGCATTTAAACGAACGCTTGTATTTTTTGAATTCCCGTCGATGCCAATAACAACCATTGCCTGAGCCCTTATGGTATCAATGCAAGTTTTGGGCCACACTGACCTGCATCACGAACGCGCAACAATTCAAGATCGAGTCCTTCCCTCGGCTGCTTGTTTCTTTGCAGCTTCATTTCATCAGTCATAAGACCTCGAGAGCTTTTCTACAGCGCTAACTGCACACACAAATCAATTGACGCGCTCAGGTGAAACTAGAGCACTGATTGGTTTGTCATGACAGGGTGAGTCATCTTCGCTTCTTCAGTCGGCAGCCCCAGTCCTAACGGATTCACGTGTTTTTGCCTTCCCTTAAACGCTTAAATGTTCACGATTTTTTTTATCTTTAGTGTCAAGTTTTCCTTGAGGTTTAGAATTTACTGTTATGAAAACCGCAACATCAACCCAGAAATGAAAATAATGTGAACGTGTCGTTTGTGTGGACATAATTGGAAAGACCTTTAACAAATGATGGCGTCCAAAAAAGTGCAATATTTAGTTAAATGGTAGAAGATTTGCTGTTTTCTAACTTGTGCGAAATCTGGTAAGTCGTGTTCTGGAGATTTTGGGAAAGGCCAATTCGGTTGGCTGTTTACGTGTATTCTTTCACGCATTTACCCCGAGGCTTAACTTTCTAAAATAGCTCTCGTCTTCACTTAAGCACATCTTTTTAGAATTTACGAAATGGACGTTTTTGCAGTCACGCACAGGGCCATCACGAGACTAAATCGGCCATAATTTCCTCATGACCTGGGGCCACAGACGACTTACAACGAGTCCTTCGCTCTACTGATTGCCAGTTTAGTCGTTTTTCAAACAAACTGCACCTGCAAGGAGATTTCGCGTGCTTTGACTTTGCCGCGTGGAATAACTTGCAATCTGACTGTATTATATCACGAGGTATGTAAATAATCCCGTGTTTTCTCGAACTGCTAACAGAAGAACGAAAACCATTGCACACATTAGAGTTGGGACAGGAATCCTAGAGGTATTATTAGACAAACTGAAATCAGACAGAAGTAAACAAAACTGGTGTCTGGGTTGTTGCGTGACCGGTATTAGCGCCTTGCGTTAGTTCGCAAAATCCGCTGTGTCTTACTTTGCAGGTTTGAAGCAAACTCCTGTCTAAGTTAAGGAGCTAACAAGACAAACTAGCAAGAACGTCCAGAGTTTATAAAATATTGAGCAATGACGAAAGTGATGTTGGGCGGCTACATCAAAGTCTTGGTGATATTTGCCACCTTATTTCGAAGCTTAGAAATATCCTATGTGTCACCACATCACTGCGTTACGCTTTTGGCCTTGGAAAACAACTATTATCCACCGCCCGCAACGATGGCAACCCTTCGACAGACCAGCTGGGCGTTGGAAGATTTTCCGTCTGCCACCATCGTCGCCACTGTTACATCGCAGACAACTCACCATCTGTGAATAGTGCCATCCAGAACGGCGTATATTTGGCTTGTATCGAACCAATTTTCCAGCAGTGGGACTTGGTATTTTATGGAGGTCGTCCTTACAAGGCTATTCAATCGTTTGGATTCAAAACGGTAATTGTGCTTGGCATCTGCTTGAATTTTGCAACAATCAAGTAACGCTGATGAGAAAAACCGATTGCTGGGTGGAGCTCACAAGTTCGTGTCGCTGGCAAAAGTCAACAAAAACACCGCGAACAGGTAGGAACTGGAGGTAGCACGGTGGAAGCGAAGGAAAGATGAAAAGGAAGGGAGGGACCGACGGACGGACGGACGGGGGAAAAAAACTAGGACTGCGCTGCTGGGTCGGACAAAGAGGCGGCAGCGGCAGTAGCCGTGGTGGTGGTGGCGGCGGCGTCGCTGTTGTGCAACGGCAAGGCCGAAATGCCAGATCGCCGAAAGCCGTCAAAAAGTGGCAGAGTTTACATCGTCCACCCTCACCACCACCGCCGCCAACAGCTGAAACAAGCGAGAGCGCGATCATTTCTAAAATTTTAGGGCTGCGTGAGCCTGTGTGAACACGCCTTTCAGGCGTTTGTAGGTTGCTGAGAAGAGCGTTCCAATTGACGCTTTGCGAGTACGACCGATCCCAATTCTCTTCGTGTTCTTAAACAACCTGGCTGATTTGATTAAGAGCTTGAAAAGGCAATAATGTTTGCATTTGCCTGATAAATTTATTCATTAGACTAATGAGAACTTGATCTTAGTTAATAACAGGCTGTAATTTAATAAGTATTTGTCCCAACACTCATCTAATCCTGTTTTATCTCCATGTCAGTATTAGACAAAGCTCCATGGAAAAGATGAAAATCTGACGAAGCCAGGTCTAAAAAAGTGCATGATGCGGCAGGTCTTAGTAAGTAAGAGTTCGAATTGCAGATTTCATCATATTGCAGTGGGACGCCATAATGTCGACCCGGTTGTTTTCTTAGGCTGATGAATTTGTTGAAACCAGGGGTCTGCATGGACTATTCAAATCGCAAAGGCCTTCCAGTTGGTTTTCAGGAATACAAATAATTATTTCCGTATAAAGCGGCGTCACCAGTGGGCAACATTTGTCCGTATAAAGCGGCGTCACCAGTGGGCAACATTTGTCCTCCATGTCGAAATAAGTCAAAGTCGAATGATGACTCATCGTAACTCAACTTTAGTGTTTTAAATCATCATTTATGCGAATCAGATTGAAGTAATTTCGATGAGATATACAACATGATATTTAAAGCATCAAATTTTTTGAAGAACGGTCACAAGGTCAGGCCAAAGCTCCACATTCTCATTGTCAGATGGATAAATCATTAGTGGCGTCAATGTGTTTGAATGTCAAAGTGGAATTCCTGACTACATTCAAAGCCGTTTTCTAATACCGTTTTACTTTCAAAGGCTTCGTATTATGTGAGTGTTACGTTTGCCCGTAACAATAGAGAATACCACTCAAATAACGGTACCAGATCCCTTGCTGACAGCTAGAACCGAC